TTCCCATTTTTCTCACAGATGTACATGTTTTTCACACAACTTATAAAATATATGTTCTTTTATGTTCACCAATAATTATTTTGTCGAAATATTCCAAAATCAATGAAATATAAGAGGAAATCCCCGCGGAAGGAATTCTGAGTAAAAGTTGTGTTGATAAAAGTTTACCGCACGTGTTGTTTATTAGTTAATACGCGCAATTCAACCAATGAAATTGTCTAAATTTTACAATCACGCGACCTGAGCATGGCACTAGAACCAATCACGTCAGTTGTTTATTACGATGTTACCATGCTTACGGTGAGATACCTGCCCGCCGCAGTGATATATCACTGCACGGGAGTTCGTTATTTTCCGTTTACCTTTTTATCCCATACGTGGACGTGTTACGGGTACATAAAGCCGGTTTGTAAAAACTTATATTTTCATCAGCGGGCAGATATAGCTTTACGTCCCGCTCCGAGCGGGCAGATATAGTATATCTGCCCGCTACGTCATAATCGCTGTTCCCGTATTGGTTCTTTTTTGTAACGTTCGCATACTGACAATGGATAAAAACGCAGGCAATCGCGATCTGTTAGATGCTTTAAAAAGGGAAGGGGCAGTATGCCCCGTTAATAATCAAAGATTTGAATAGGAAAATCTGGCTACGGACAAGAATACAAAACTGGATATGAATATTTTAAAATAATTCCTCGGTTGGTTGCAAAGTTTCTGAACTTTGGCCTATTAAACAATGTGATTGGTATGGGATAAACAGATCATCCTATAGTCGGTTCAGGATATTGGGATTATCCCTTGGCCAATATAATATATCTACCCTCGGGACCTACGGCCCTCGGGCAGATATATTATATTGGCCTCGGGATAATCCCAATATCCTGAACCTTATACAGGATAATCTCTATATACTTGATCGGTCAAATAAACACTGCAAATGGGAGAACGAATCCATAGATGACCATAATTCTACACGTCCACGTACAAGTTTAAAAAACGTGTAACTTAACCTACCTCCCTAATATTTGATTAATTCTGACGTCATTGTGAAAGAGGAGGAAACTCCCAGAGTTATGAGATGATCTTTTTCAAAATAGAGATGACACTACTGTTGATTTGTTTATCGAGACGTGACGTTCCGCAGCAAGCCCATCGTTCACTGGTTCAAAATTGAAATTTTGAAAAACAAGACTTTTTAAATACTTTATAAAGTATTCTACAAGTGATATTTATTTTGTGTAAAGAATTCACGGTCTCTGATACTACCCAATGTAAATCGTTCCGGACTTGTTTTTCATAACCATTTGGACTCATTTCGTAGGAGAATGAGATGAGACATTCATCAGAATGGCTCAAAAAGGTAATATAATTCAATCGTTTAGAAAAATACATACACTAACTTCTACCTAAAACATTCTTTTTCATACCCACATATCTATTTTGGCGATCGTGCCATCATATTTCATATTTATCGGCATTAAATAACAAAAATCCCAGAAATATGCTCTAAATCTGCGTTAGTGTCATTTAACTATGTTTAAACAAAAAAATCATTCTATAAAGTGGAACAATATTCACTACATTAAAGATCGTGTTAATATTTTAACTATGTGTACCTTCAAATTTCCATAAATGACGGTAATGTAAAAAGTGGAGTTAACGACTGCGAATGGTCCTTGTTCTGACACGGACTTGTCTTATAATCCCTAGGTGAACGACTGCGAATTGTACACAACGTGATAAAAATAACGATTAGGAATTGTCTTGCAATGGTATTTATACGTTCCGTTGCTTGATGAATTGTCTATGCTTCTGGAATAATTGCACTTAGTATGATTATGTTTGAGAGGAGTTTTTGTACTAAATATTCACACATTTTGTAATTTCAGTTCCCAGAAACAAGTGCCACGAATGTATTTTAAAAGTGCAAATAAAAATATATTCTTTGAACTCTTCAAGAGGGACCATTCCTCCGATTTATTATCCCATCGAACGAAGTTCGGAGGGATATAGGGAACGCCTCCGTCCGTCCGTCCGTCCGTCCGGGCAATAACTCAAATACCCTTGGCCCGATTTTGTTCATATTTTGTACACATATACCCTATGGGGGTAGAAATTCTGTTCGAAAGCCGATTTTCAAAATGGCCACTCATTTAAAAATGGCGGCCATTTTAGTGCCGATTTTACAGTAATTTAGGTGCAATATGTAAAACTGTAATAGCAATATGTTTTAAATATGAAAAAATTATATAGGACATTAATAAAGCTAGAAATGTAGATATTTAAGAAGCACATGGCAGCCATCTTGAAAAATGGCGGCCTTTACTCGTTATTTTACGAAAAGTAGTGGAGCGATTTTCTTCATATTTGGTATGTGAATACTATAAGCATGGCACACTGTCTAATGACACTTTTGGTAGAAGGCGTCCATTTTGGAAAATGGCCGCTATTTTAACTTACATGTATTTTACTATAACTCGAAAAGTAGTGGAGCGATTTTGTTCATACTTGGTATGTGAATACTATAAGCATGGCACACTGGCTAAAGACACTTTTGGTAGAAGGTAGCCATTTTCAAAATGGCCGCCATTTTAACGTATTTTACCATAACTCGAAAAATAGTGGAGCGATTTTGTTCATATTTGGTATGTGAGTAGTATAGGCATGGCACACTGTCTAATGACACTTTTGGTAGAAGGTGGCCATTTTGAAAATGGCTGTCATTTTTGCTATTTGTTTTTAAATATGCCAGCCATGGCTGTTCGATGGGATTTGCTACGCTTTGGCGTTGCTGTTGTCTAGTTCAGGCTTGACGTCCCTTTTCATGATAAAGGCATATGGCGTTACAAAACACAGGATTATGGATTCCGGATGTGTGATAAATTAGGCTCAAAGCTGTCATTTGATTATGGTACCTCGATAAAGGAGGAAGAATACGTTGAACCCAGTCCGCTTCAGAAGTGCATGCAATTCACAGAGAGAACAACGTTAACCCCTGTGAAAAGAGAGCTTAGCTTTTCATATGATGAAATCGAAGATGTAATAATATTTATTGATTAAAAATAAAAATAAAAACTAAATATATGCAAATTACAGGGTGTCCGGAAAGTAAAGATGCAAACACTCTAATTTTAAGAGATTTAGGATTTTCGCAATGAAATTGCTACAGATTGTAGAGGAACATTACAATGTGTCTACCAAATCTCATCGCACATAGTCTAAACCTGTAATGATTCCCTAATTCAACCTTGACAAGTATCTCGTTTTTTAATGATGATCATTTAGATAGTATCACTCAGACAACTTCTTCCACTGTCCTCATCCACTCTGATGATTTGTTGGAAATCTATAAAGTTTATGGAGCTGTTCCACAATTAAAGATGGTTCATTGTGTTCTACAAGTCAGAAACGTTCCAATAACAAGTCAACATCATTAACTGGAATATTTAGGTCACGTCCAAATGGTTAAATCTAAAAAATATTCTTTCGACAATTGCTACTCATTTAAACCATTTTAAATCATGATTTTCGTTCACAATGTGGCTACTTTCATTATGAATCGGTGTATTCATTGGATACAAGGCAGGCTGGTGATTATAAGGCAAAATAGGTAAAAACACGGGCAGAATCGCTCGCATCCCGAAATAACAAGACTATAGCAAACGGTTCGTACAAAAAAGGTGTTTGCGGGTGTCTGAAGATAGGGTATATAGTATGGTAAGTTATCTAATTGTATTATATTTACATAAAGTCAAGTGAAAGCAATTTCATAACCAGATTTACAAACCTACCTCTACTCTTTTCCATAAATCAAGTCCAAATGGTTATGAAAAACAAGTCCGGAACGATTTACGTTGGGTAGTATCGGAGACCGTGGAATTGTAATTCTAGAGGAGAATATAATTATTATGTGAATAGTATTCTTGTCATCTGTGTTGAGAACCTCTCGCTTGTTAAATCGAGCCAACTATAGACAATTTTATTCGAAATATAATATACACTGAAAATGTTTCTTATATCTTCAAACGTCAGTCCTCGTAAAATGAAGTAAGCGGAAGAGGACGTGAACTTTGAGTTGTGGGTTTTCTCCCCCTCTTGTTCACCGGTTATCCGGGATTTTCCCTCAATTCACGTGGTCTTAACATCCCGTGACTCCGATAGAATTTCATAGATTTCTTGAGATCTGAAGATGACCAATGGCACATGGTGTATAAGGGCCGGAGTTTCCACTGCTTTCGACACCTTACACGGTAGAATAGGATTTGGTTGCATACAAACAGAAAAAATTGCATTGTTATTGTGGGCGTGGAATATGGCGTATTTTATAAATCCAAGAATCCGCGCCCAAAGGGTTTAATTAAGCATGAATAGGATCCTCTAGACTAACTCCATTCCAACGTTTAAGTGAGTAGGTACTTCTTATATGTATTGAATCTCGAAATAAACGTGTGAGTCCATGCCTTTGGGGAAATCACGATCTTCCACCATGTAAAGGATATTAGAAGCTTTAAAAAATTTGAAAGTATTATAGATTATAATTGTTAGATTAAAACTACGACCCGGATTTACATCTTATTTTTTAAACTAGGTCACATGCCCAAAGTCCCCGTACATAAGTTCAGATTCGAATCTAGTGTCTAATATATAATATATAGAGGTAATTTTTACTAATTTACAATCAAAAACTTCTGTTCACGGTCATCAGGCAGTACCACCGGAGAGTTGCTAGTTTAAAATATCACATTCATCTTCTATATACACACTAAGGAAGAGATATAAATATCAGAACGTAATACAATTTCAAACTGAAAAATCCCAAGGGCATGTAGCCTCCTATCGTCGATAAGTCGCTCCAATTAAAAAAAACTATGTAAGTCCCCAATGCCTAAACTGCGTTTTGCAACAGGATCTTTTAAATATTACGAAAATATATATCCGCCTCACGTCAGGTAGTAATCCTCAAAAGGATAGGAGTTTATTTAAAAATAATGTATAAAAGTTGAAGAACTAAAATATGGTAACACAAATAAAAAAACTGCGGATAGGAGCATTTCAACGTTTTCAAGTGCCAAATCAAAGTTTCCAATGAGAACACGTGAGTAATATTTATCAATTATTATAAAAAAGAATTTTATTATTATTATTAGGTTTTCTATACCTTCACAGATCGTCTCAATTCTTTTAATCTGTTTTTGCTCGTCATTTATAATTGTTTTAAGAATCTCAAATTGTTCATTCTTTATTCTGAAATATTTTATTCTGAACAGAACCCAGGCAAATTTTAAACTTTTTTATAAGATATAAAGGACGGTTCAGATTATACATTTAGAGAAGGTGGCAAAGCAGCATTTGTTTATTTATAAACATCACACATTTCTAATAATGGATATAAACAGTAATTATTAGCAAGTCGTGATCCTGATTAATGGCAATACAGCAATAGTGTTGAATGAATTCACACATTTCACATTGAGAATGTTTCAGCGGACATTATATAACAATGGAACTTTATCAATGCTTTTACAGTATAAAATGGTGTAAAAAGTGGTCACTTTTCACAATCGCTGTGCAATTGATACAAGCACTCATCCTGTGATAAAAATTTATGCAAATTTAAAAAACTATAATGAATATAACGAAGATAGTGGGTAAGTCGTATATTTTTAGTACGCATGACAACGATTTCTTTAATTAATCCTACTTTATTTATACAATGTAAAATTGTTTTTAGAAATGAATTTGTTAAACGCAGAAATGTGGATGTTTTAATGAATAATGTAAAAATTGATAAAAGCTCTTGGTTGCGAGCTCATCATTGTACCAATGAAGATGTGCTCCGTATTTTACATTGGAAATCACTTCACAATATTTATCCTTGTAATTCGGTCCTGTTCAAGCTAAAAATTAAAAATTCTCCTTTATGTGATCATTGTGGAGTAAATGACACTATTGTACATCATTTTATTAAATGTAATAAAGTCAAAGATATTTGGAATAATTTCAATTTGACAGATGAACAAATTTTAGGTCTTCAAACATGTTCAAATTATAAAGATGTTCTCATTGCCAGAAAACAATCCAAATTTTCAACTACCACAACTATTTAGGCAATATAAAAAGTGAGTTTCATAAACAAAATATATTAAATTTGTAGAAATGTATGTTTATTTTGTATGATTGATGTTAATGTATAATTGTAAGTTAATTTTAAAGGAAAATAAATGTTTAAAAAAAATAAAATAATAATACATAAACAAGGCATTAACATGCAAAATGACACCACCTGTCATTTGTTACAGATGCCAAACACTGTCCATAAAAGGTATGAGGCTTACAGTATGTCATCTCTTCTGGTGATGACAACAATATGAAATGTATTATTCTTATTAAATGAATAAATGAACAAGAAAATAAAACAAAACAAAAAAAAAGTTAAATCTTATCAAATCAATAAAATATTTTTTCATGCTCTAAGTTGAACATTTTTAATAAAGATAAAATGGAATGATATAACATTATTTTTGATTTAAGCCACATTCTTAGAATATACCGTGGGGTGTAATCTGTCCCTATTAGAGAGTTTTGAGAATTTGGTTTTATTTTTATTTTTTATCATCAAAATATTACTTTTATGACATCGAAACTGCGAAACTGTTTTAAAAGTTTTCCCGGGAGAGAGCCGTTTGTTTTGATCACAAACTGCGCGCCATGCAACATGACAGCATACAATGCGAAGTATATCATGTTTTTCAACGTTACTTGTCATTATATGATACTAACAACGTTTTGAACATTTTAGTGGCACTAGAAATGCCCAATTTGGGCGATTATGCCGTGATTGTAATGAAATTTTATAAACAATTTTTGAAATAAATAGTATTCATGAAAAAATACTCATTTTCTGTCCAATTACTGTCCATAGCTTGGACTGGGGGTTGTGGGGATTATTTGGCATGAAAATCATTGCTTTTGGTACAATTTGACCGGATGATGTGGGAGTGTGGTTTTGCCAAAATTTATTCAATTTTGTTGGGTCATGTTCAATGGATTTTCAGATCTAAGTCGCTTTCGAGATATAATGTTACCTTTCTTTCCCTATTATAGCGAATAATGATACCTAGGTTATCAAAAACCTTCGTCTAATATGCCATTGTAATTCGGCTTCATATTCCTCTATTTTGCTGTTTCTTTACAGCTTTTGGTCCTTTTCCTTTAGCACTTGTACTTAGATATTTAGGTTTATTTATAAGGAAACTAAGAAAACTACACGATGACAATTAGCTGGCTTTAATTGCTCTATATAAATGAACTCTTATAATAAGTATAACAATACCCAAGAGATGAAATCAAGGTGGATTTACATGAATAACAAAAAAGTCGATCACAAGAATAAGAATGGCAGACGTATTCAGAATAATTGGACAGTGGGAAGAACTGAAATAAATTAGTTCTCAATCACCGCGAATCAGAAGAATTAAGAATGATGCTGATGCTAATTCTAATGATATTAACAAACTAGAGCGTTTACGAAAATATGAAATAGTTCCAACTAAAATTATGTGACCTTTTAAGTCGAAAAAATAATTCAGATCATTATTGACAAAAAGTTTGTAGTGGATCAAAATGGTTACTTTGTAAAATATATTTTCCAATTATTTAACTTACAATAAGATAAAGAATGAATAACTTTAATTAATAAAACATATATTGCCCTATAGACGTACAAGAACAACTAAAAGCTCGATGGTTATTCCTTAAAATTTACCTTTGTAGACGCTTTAGTACTGCTGTCCGTCACAATCTTCCTATTTGACAGAGCTTCGTGCATACCTTTGCGTCAAAGAAGAGAACAGCGTAGTGGTCGACGCGAAGCACGAAGCAACTCTTCCACAACAGAAAGAAGTCCATCCAGCCTACAAATATGGAATGGATGTACTGGATCCAGCGGGTCTCTAAGACATAACTGGGGACCCCGGTCGCATGCGTTTGATGACACTATATTGCGCATCACACGCTACATTATTGCCAACATAACTGGGTTTCTTCAGACGTATGTAAGTATTTCGAAATGATTATTATTGCACTCCTAAAGATAAATTATTATGTTATTATATACATTTAGTTATATACCTTAGGGTGATGGTCAACACTATATTTAACTCCGTCTGTAAATGTTCGATTTCAGAAACAGCGATTCAATGACCATCTGCTCTCTACACATATCGGCCAGCAAAGCCACCCTGTTGTGGACGCCATCAACACCAAGCTGTTAGCTGTGAGAAATAATGCAACAAATGTTGATGTAAGAATATTTAAGTACAGTATCCATACTCAATTCAGACGTGTAATGAATCAATTTCTTATGTTCATTTAGTCCAAAACGATTTTTTATTTTTGAATCAACCAACTCTGGTGAGTGCTGTATAAATTGATCAAATATATTTCGGAAAGTTATTTTTAGTTAATATTTCAGAAATAAGGGGGGTGGAATACATGAATTACTTATTATTTTATTTTTGCAGCTGAACGGCTCTTTAATCACGATTCTTGAAGCTCTTCACCAATACAAAAGCTACATGAACCATACTTACCGTAACGAGTTTGCGCGAACATTAGGAGGCCGCACTAGCAGAAGGGGTGGTTCAAGGCAATGGCGCCACACAAGAAATAAGCGAATGGTGAGGAAACGCACATTACATCGTCAAATAAGCTCATTGCTTAATCGACACGTGACATGGCTCATTTGCAAAGTGTCTCTTTTTGCACAGGTATGTGATATAACTAATTTACTAGATTTTTTGTCAGATAACTATTGCAGATTTTTTTTAAAAACCTAAAATATTTAGTTTGGCTTCGTCTCCGCAAGAGCTAAAAACGTCTAAGGGCCATCAAACAAATGAGACAAAATATGACTTTGTTCTTAGCACCAGGGTGTGGATTTGACTGAAGACGCTCTACGTGGTATCCTGGATATCGAACACAATACACAGTTGTCCCAGGCTCTAAATGATGCTTATACTTACATCATATTCAAGAAAGTGCACGAAGGACTCGGAATCATTATGCTTTTCTTCAGAGATACGATGGATAATCGACAAACAGCAGCTGATGGTGACTGATTAAACATCATTCCAAGTGACCTGCAATGAGATGGTCGTGAAGTGTTGAATATGTCGACAATGTCTCTGCATGTTGGAAGTTATTTACTTATAAAGATGTCATCTTACACTAATCTAAATTCTTTTGTCGATGTTATAAGTTCTAAGAGTGTAATGACATCTATCATAAGTAAACTAAAACAGAGAATAATCTCTCAGTTTATTTGTGTAAAGAAGAATCCCCATTTTTCATGATTGACATAGTTCGCGCCAAATTGTCATCTTTGAATGCTCGAAAAACATGTATTGATTACATGGCTAACAGAAACAAAATGAAGGATGAAAACGGTTAGTTTCTGCCGTAATTTAGCAATATTATGATTTGAAATTCTTTATAGAAGTAAAGAGAAGTGTGAGGGATATGCTTATATTAATGAAAGCTTCCCATCGATGTGAAGTATTCAGAAAATAGATGATAGAAAAGTTTAACAAAACGAAAGGGCACATAAAGGCACACTATACTTAATTTAGAAGAAAATGGACAAAATTATCATTGAAACGCGTACTCGCACACTTGTTTGATTTGCTTAACTTTTTGAACCAAGAAAAAATAACTCACATAGAAAAAATTATTTGAAGTTCAGAGATCATTAGATATGCATGCACATGTTAAACAAAGTGCATGTTTTAAATAACCATTGCTTTAAAAGATGGCGACACTTCTATAAAAATGAATGTATCATGTAATACAAACAACTTTGCCATCTTTCAATGACATTGATAAAAACTTGATATATAAAGCTTGACAGAATATATTTTTTGATAATTTATTGTCAGCTTTGATGTGGTCCATTTGAGCTGTTGTTGGTGTCTTTGGAAGTCTTTATTTTGCCCAAAATGTTGGAAATTTCCAAAGTGGGCCTTTAATTATGGTCAGCGTTGAACTACAGTATTTCTCATCTCATTCTTTTATCTGAGGCTTATATGAGAAAAAGAATACGATGCATGATTTAAACTGACGTCTTTCAGCTTGTATATCACACGGAGGCTGGCCTCTATTAATTTATGAATTATTTAAGGAATTAAGAACCTGATCAAATGCTTTGTTTGTGAAATATCATAAGTGAATTGTTGCTTCCTCAACCAAGACTGAAGAATGGAGTTTATATCAAGGCTGGCCTACAATCCACGAGTGATGTATTTTACGAACAAAACATTGAGTTCAATGCTTAAATCTTTCCACACATGACAAAACAGCTTTATAAAACGAAATTGGTTTCAACTGCAGGCAGGCAGGTAGAGATCGCTGTTCCAAAAGTGTACATTTTTAGAAAGATAATAATGGTGTTCGGTGATGAGGGTTCATTTCCACTGAATCTAAGAATAGTCGTTCATCTAGTTTAAAAATATGGAATTACATTTTGTATCAATACTGTCTTCTGATTGGCTGAAATCTCATATAACTTGTTTGGCCATGTGTGAATATTATATCTGACTTTATACTGTAAATGCAATGTGTGAATAACTCCACAGATAGAAATATATTCTAATCATTAAATCTTTACCTATGTTCATAATACGTTTTCATTTTTTAAAATATTTTTTCAATTTAACATTTGTACTAAACGTCATTATATTTGCATTGCTGCAGTTGTGAATACTACATATCTCAGTAAATTAGAAACTTCAATGAGAATTTAGCATTACAGTTTGGACAAAAATAATTGAGTCATGGATTTGCTGAAGTGAGAATTTCTCATGTGAAAAGAATTTCTAAGAGCCCATACACACGGGTGTTAAGCCACGATGATACCATGAGCACATGCTTTGAGGATCCGCGTTGTTTGAACCTACCACCGAGCTCGCTTATACACCAAGCCCCGTTACACAGTCATGATACCGCCGAGCAAGCTCATTGTATCATCGGGTCTGCTTTACCCCCGTGATACATCAGTGGACGAGTGTATACAAAATGTAAAATATTCAAATATTGGAAACTATGGGCTTTAGTAATTGGAAATAGTGATCGACTAATCATTTGTTTATGGTTCAAACTGTACACGATCCTTCAGAATTTTCCTTCTTAAAATATTTCAGTGTGTGATAACCTGATTAAGTGAGCAACCGATGTCAAGTAATCAATCAATGAAATAATTTTAAACTATGGAGTCGCTTCTTACCACTGTAGCGTTCAAATAGCAATATAATTATGTAATCCCCTGAGCACTAGGGATGCTAAGTTACATATTCTTGGGTATATGATAACCTCAAGTGCAGTTATGTATAGTCGATGTCATCAGAGATGGGTAAGTGACAAGATATATAAAAGAAGAAGAACGTTCTTAGAAACCTGTTAATATTATTGAGGAAACTGACCTTGTTATCAGCATAAATCTAGAATCAGATTGGCATACCAGTTGTTATAATGAATTAAAGACTTTCTAGTTGAATGCTTAAAAAATTCGATTCATTCATTTTGAGATGGTTCCTTATAGTAAATACCCCCAAATACGTTTATGCATATGAAGTGCTAGTTAGTGCAATAAACAATAACTCCCTCATTTGCATAGTTTTGCTTTTTGTTATTAATACTATGTTTGATTCTCATTCAAACGGCTGAAAATTAAGATATTGAATCACAAATTCATTTGAGACAGAGACATTTCATCGGCAACATATTGCTATTTTATGTATTACATTTTTTATTGCAAATTACAGCAAAATACTCGTTTCTAATTCATTGAGATAAACTTTAGTAGACTATATATACTCCGTTGCTCTCTTTATATTGCTAACTTTATGATGACTTTTGGTTGTTTCGATTGTAATAAAAGTGCTCCAGAATCTAAATGAATAATTTTTCTAAATACTCACAGGAACATATCTCAACATCTTTGTTATTAACAACATCTTCAATTCTGATAAATCCATTAAAATACACTGAAATATTTTAATTATTTCTGTCAAAATCATATTATTTTATTAAATCAAGTTTCCTTAAATCGTTTCTAACGAACGATCATTTTGTGTACTATATGTAAAAAAAGATTCAGATTTTTGTAAAATACATTACATACTCTGGTGATCCACATCTTCGACTTTCAAGATGGCTATAACACTGAAACTTTGTGAATATATTAAGATTGGTAATCCAAATATCCTCAAGATCAAAGATGATGCCGACGCGAAGGTGTATAAATACACTATGCGCACGTTTGTGTAACATTTATAGAGAAATGTATTATGACTGATTATCAACCAGGGACTGTGTAAGTAATGTAATAGTTGAACAAAGGTCAGACCGAAATATCTTAAAAGACGATACTTGCCGAACGGTTTCAATTAAACTTGTCAGAAATATGAATAACGAATGAATCTTTATGTTGCAACAAAGTTGATCGAACATAATAATGCCGAAAGGGGACACTTTTGGTAATTTGTACCAAGATTTGAATTTAAAACAATATTTGGAATGAAAATTTGTTCCAATGATTTGTTCTCATATATACACTCGCTTTTGTCAATTAGGATATTTTGATACCATTAAGTTGAGATAAGGAACGTTTTAAAGATCAAAATCACATTTCCTTAAACACACCAAAATGAAAGAGCTATGAATGATGACTCCGTATTAGTAGTTTATCAAATTGTATTACATTCACTCGCAGAAATGCTTTTTCAAATACACACCTAATTTGAATATTTCACATTCGGAACACGGTTCAGTTATTCCCTATTTTACGACAGATAATAGTCCTCAAATGGTTATGTTGGCCTTGACCTAGATTAACTGAAATAGATCATCCCCTTAAATATCAAAAGTTTGCCGTTTTGTTCACTCCCCTGCTAGCATATCTAAATCCATATTATGATGAAAAGGTCACTCAAATTATTAAATATTTAATATATCGGGTGTCCCAAAAAATGAGACACTTTTTGACACCTATTTTCTTGGTATCTGATTTGCCAAATTCACTGAAAATTTCTACAAAGAAGCCTAAGAGTATCATCAGCAAATCATTCACTAAGAAATTCAAAATAGCATGTCAAAAATTCCCATACCGGAGCTCTGCGATGAGACCTCTATAGTGTTTTTACCACCTATCAGGTGATAGCATCTGTCAATCGGTCAAAATAGCTTGTCTGTGTGTCCTGTCTAATAATTTGTTTCATTGTTCCCAAATATCCAAAATCCATTCATTCTCAAAATTCATTGGAAGTGATATTTTAAGAATAAATACGGAAAAGTATTTTGCTTGGAAATGGATTAAAAAGTGACTTTTACATAGATATTGATTATTTTGACATACTGTCTTTAAATCAAAAATACACACAAAATATGAGACTAGTCTCTTGCATATTCATAGCACTGGCAGAAAATACCCTAAAGTGCCCCAAGTAAAGTTTTCAAAGAATGTGGCTCATCTATTGCTCAGATATTACTTGTCAATTTGCGTCCAAATTTTTGGTACTGTAACAACCCTGGGTTGTTACTTTTTATATTTCATGCCCAATTTAATTATTTCATATATATCTGTTAATGTTTATTCTATTATTTCAATTTATTGTAAGGTTTAAAGGTCATTTAAACTTTTTATAACTTTTGAATTTGGTGCCAAAAACTTGAGCCTAGTTTAGATTAGCCAATCAGAGCACGTCTTAGAAAAGCGTTTGGAGGCGCACATGGAGAATTTATGAGATTGTCTATTTTATATTGAGCGGATTATAATCGTCTTAAATGTAGGACTTAAGGTCCTAAGATAGGATAGGATATGATTCTGTTAACAGTAAATGGCCTAGGATAAGATAAATCAAGTTAAATAGGGTAAGGAAGTTAGTATTGAACAGAGATAGACGGCTAAGTCAAGTGACCTAATTTCGCAAACTTTGAGATTCTACATCATTTCTTTTAGTTGCTATCGTTGATTCCAATCAGATATATGTTCAGAAATATGTCTCCTTTTTTTCTGTGAATATTACCAGCTTAGGGTAGCATACTAATTCTGCAAGGGTTTAGTTTAGATAGATATTCATAGCCATGTGTGTACTTTTATCAGTTTGAACATTTGCCAAAAGGTGGCACTAGTGTTGTGGAGCATCTACATGTAGTAGTTGTGTGTTATATAAGGTCAGATTGGTAATAAGATTGAAAACTGTTTTGTTAGGTATTTACAGTATCTTGTTTGATATACCATCTGAAAGACCTTAGTTTCATTGTCAAAACTCATTGTACATATTTCATACTTACTAGTTGATTACGCAATATATATATTTTAATTCAAATCATATTTTATGTTATTATTGAGATCAGTGTGACAGTAAGTCCTCAGTAGAGCAGATTAAAATTCATAACAACCAACACACTCCCTAGTCAAGGCCACATATACGCTACCACAGAAATTTCAAGTATATTTGTAACATCTCTTATTTTATGTAACGTCAGGCTAGGCGAGTGTGACCCCCGGTTGTTACAGTACAAACGGAAGTTCTCATTGCGTTGCTCCGGTATGGGATCATTTGACATGCCATCTTGAATTTCTTAGTACTCACATAACATTTATCTGATCTTTTTCATATTTTTATATATACCTTGCTAACCTTGCTAACCCTTGGGCTACTTTTGGGACACCCGATATATATAATTATTTGTCTTTTTTAAATAAAGTTGTTGATCAATCCATTTTTCTAAAACAGAATATCCAGGCACGTGGAAATTAAAATTAAATCAAGGGCATAGGATATGATTTTGCTATTTAATAGATCTATAGAGGATTTCATTGCACTAAAAATGCACATTCATTTAATTTCAATTCCGGGACTAATTTTGACCTACTATAAAGTTATGCTGAAGTACACACAAAACACGGCTTAAACAATCAAGGTAGGATTTGCTTTATTTTATATTCGTCGATCATGAGATAAGAAATATGTTTGATTTAACACAAAGTTATTCAATGTACGACGCATCATTACTCCTGAGATATTCTTTCTTTTACAAATAAAAGTTTGACGAAATTCAAATGACAAAACAGATGCATAGGAATATTTTTTGAGTGTAATGATTGATGGTTGACAGGCATATCTTTTAAACATGGAAGTTAAATAGATGATTGGCAATGCATGAGTTTCTCTCCAAAAACATATATGTCGTTATAACTGGTCAAACGTGAAAGTTAGATTGATATTTGGCAGGCATGATTCTCTATTCTAAACATAGAATTTAGACAGCTTGTTGACAGGCGTCTCTCTCTCTCTCTCTCTCTCTTATACGCAGAAGTTAGATAGATGGTTGACAGGCGTCTCACCGTAGAAGTTAGATAAACGATTTGCATTCATGAGTCACTCTCCAAAACGTATATGTCGTTATGGCTGGCCAAATGTGAAAGTTAGATTGATAATTGGCAGGCTTGAGTCTCTATTCTAAACATAGCATTAAGACAGCTTGTTGACAGGCGTCTCTCTCTCTCTCTCTCTTATACGCAGAAGTTTGATAGATGGTTGACAGGCGTCTCTCTTTAATACGTAGAATTTAGATAGATGGTTGACAGGCATCTCTTTCAAACGAAGACGTTAGACAGATGATTGCCATGCATGACTTTCTCTCTAAAACATATACGTAGTTATGGCTGGCCAAGCGTGAAAGTTAGATTGATAATAGAATTTAGACAGCTTGTTGACAGGCGTCTCTCTCTTATACGCAGAAGTTAGATAGATGGTTGACAGGCGTCTCTCTTTAATACGTAGAATTTAGACAGGCGTCTCTCTTTTATACATGTACATAGAAGTTGGATACTTGTCGGCAGGCACGAATCACTCTTTTTAACACGGAAGTAACAAGGATGGAGTTAACAAGAGAAGGGTTAGGGCTCAATAGACGACCATGACGTCATATCGAATCTCTGTTGATCTATGGCCGACCACTAAGTTGCATCACGTTATTCTTCACCATTCACCACCTGAAGCAAAAACACAGAAATGTCTCCATTGTTTACAATAATTTTATTCTTAAATTTTAAATTTTGATTGACCTTATTCTTGAACCCCACGTTGAGTAGAAAAATTAGTCATGCATGTCAAGGAATGTGAACTATAAATATATTGTTATCTCTTTGGCAGTGATACTAAAGAGAAGCCATCTGTGAACAATCATATCAGAATACATAAATCTTTAAGTTATACCCTATCGGCTTTATAGTCCTGCGAAATTACTCGTTAACTGGATATTGGGTAACTCGGGAGTCTTCTTATGATTCTAATAAATGACTTACTCTTATCCTAAAATGTTAGTTGTTGCATTGTTATACCAAGGAGGATTGGTCGCGCTAAATTTCGATTTTTAACAATGAAAATGTCACAATGTCGTTTAATTGTCTTACGGTTATAAAAGTACTTTTAAATATTCACCTTGCTTCAGTCTAGAAAAGCTATTTTTATCGATTGCATTATATTTTCAAGTAAGCGAATCGAAGGATCCCTCAAATTAATTACTCATAAGACTGAATTACTAAATTGGCCGATTTGCCGATTATTCTCTTATTCAACAAGGCGTCGAATTGCATCATTTACAGTAACGCCCACATCGCTTGAAAGCTTCTCTATATTTTATCTGAAAGATTGCATCAACAGACTGACATTTCAAATGCATAGTTTTATCGTGCTCTCCGATGAACGCTGAAAACGACCACATCCCGTTTAATAATTTTCAGGACCGAATGTATAGGGCTTTTTGAGAAGTAACTCAGTGTGATTTAGTTACACGTTTACCCCACCCTAAGCCCATTTAGGACAGGATGTAGGATTTTTGAGAACAAATTTGGATGAGCCTATGTTTAGCTTATCACATTGAGCTGTATGTGTTCTGTTCACATACATATAAGTGCAATAAGTTAATTGTTATTTTATGTTATCTGGATAAACATGTACATATTTATACAGGGTGTCCCTATTTACACATTTGTATTCAGTATCTCTTTCTATTACTTTCTGTTTTTCAAACTCTCGCACATTGTATTATATACCATTAAATAAATCTGTCAAATTTTTCTGGGCGTGTTTTTTTGCGCTCAATACACTAATCTTTGAAATTGGCCAAAATAATCATATAATTTCAAATCTTCAGTTTTTGAAAAATAGTTTGAATGAAATTTTCATTATGCATTTGAAAAAATTGAATTCTTTTCTAGACTAAATTTTGATGACCATTCTCAAATATTGTTGACTATAGCTAGTGATTGTAAAAGGGAAATGGTCAGAGCAGCTCGATTATTGATAAAAACACTGTCCTGGCCTGTCCGAGATAATCATTTGACCAAAATAAATAGTTTATAAAAGACTTAATGACGTAAAATTCAATCTGTATCCATGTTCAGTAACACTTATTTATTGCATTACGATGTCATGATTTAGAACTGCATTGTTCAATGCAATTTCAAACGAGTCGGTCTAATCAACAGCTCGCTTGACGAATGTAAAAAAGTAAATCGAGTTTTTTATACTTTTGGTTTAAAGAGGGACCTCAAGAGACTCAGTGAAAGGTGACGCCATTATATGTGCTGTCCTTGGAGGATCATACATTATTGGTAAACAACTGCATACATTTTTATAGAATTATATTTTGTGCTACTCAAGAGTACCATTGTCCATGTTGCCATAGCAACCCTATCTCTACCATAATTAAACGATGTTCACCCAAGAGAAGGACCAACACATACATAGATTTTATTATATAAAAACATCAAAACCGTTCATTTCTTATTTTAGGTTTTACTAGCTTTTCAGGTCGATATTGTAAACCTTTTGTCGTAGTATCAAGCTTAATGACTCCATTTTCCGAAAACGATTGGTTTATCAATTTTTACTTGCGGTAATCATCAAACGGTTGCCATTTAATTTCATTGTACTCTAAGGATAATGGTAACGGCCATTCTGGGTCTCTACTAGACAATTATCGTTCTTAGCAATATCCTCCCGAAATATAGTTACAATACTTTTGGTGTATCTCCAAATTACATCACTGAATACAAACCAATAAATCAAGTTGATCCCTAAATACTTTATCGAGGACATTCGGATGCTTCTTGTGTATATATAGTGCAGTGTTCTGCGTGAAAAGGGTCGATTGATGACGATTGTATATGAACAAATTTCTGGAATGTAGCGTTTTGTAATCCCGAGCAAACTATTAAAGATATACTTGTGGCGGTACAGCAATTTAAAGACGCTTAGAATAGTCTACGTAAAAATTTAGGATGCAGTTAACTACAGTTGTAATAGTAATATTTGTAATGGCATACAGACCGTTATTTATAATGATTGTTATATTGACACACGTAGTTTTCATATTGGATGTTTATTCATACCATATATTGCCACACTTACTTCAGTGTATTAACTTATTTTTCCAAATTCTCTATGTAATTATGACAAATTTGATATCAGAATTGTGCGTGTGCCCTTTTAGTGTTGTGCTGACCTGGTTAGGTTTGAAGCTGTTTAATGTTCAGACGTCTAAGGATATGTGGAGGTTACTTACCGGAAAGGACTGAATAAGGGTTTTATACCGAGTGTGAATGTGACGACATTTCCAGATTGACTAAAATATTGACCGAGATATCAAGCTAACATTAAATCATCGACAATGGATTATAAGGGATGATTTAAATATCACATGATCCACATAATTGTCAATGTTTCATAAAACCTCTACTGGTAATAGTAAAAATCAACACTAAAGTAACTTTAATTTCGATAATATGTTATTCTTGTTCGATTTAATTTGCAGAATAGGAGCAGCTAAATGTTTCAATTATTTCGCTATAGCGAGTACATTGAACAAAAAAGTCAGATATTGGCATACGGTTACAACCAGAGTGAGTGTTTATTTTTTGTTAAAAGCAATTTAAAAAAGTTTTTTTAAGATTCAACTTTACAAGAAAATGAAATTTCTTAAACAGTGAAAATGAAACCTTTGAAATTATTCGGAAAAACAAATATTTTAGAAAAAAGTCAGAAAATAAAATACGGGGACGATCAGGTGAATATATGTTGCATTCTCTTGGGTTATTCACCGGGGAATTATAGTGTCATGGTATTAATCGAAATCTTAAATGGTTTCGTCAGTTTAATAACGTTTTATTCTGGGGGCAACACGACTGCATGGGCGGTGATTGTTGCGAAGTTAAATAATGTAAAAGTTATCTGGATCAAACGGTCCTCAATGGAGATTTCCGATTGATCTAGAAATTTCAATTCCGTACAAGGTAAAGCAGTAGAAACAGATGACTAGATTTGGAAAGTTGAAGGGAAATGGAGTAGGACTCTAAGGCATGGAAGTAGTTTCTGTGATTTAAGAGATACTTCGCATTCAAGATTAAAGTTTTTATTCTCATCATGCCGTTCATGAGCGTTGCGATTAATCCGGCCTGAGTTAAGTGAATTTCACATTTTTAACATCTGTCTTATTGGTTTACGGCGAAGGAATACGCTCTTCTTAAATTACGAAGTTTACATTGTAGAATACTAATGACGTAGTTTTGATATGTTTTGGAATTAAAGGAACACTGTCAAATTAAAAAGTAATACATCAAATACATCCATAAAATACTATTATTAGTCATCTATGGTACGACTCAGCTACTTTTAGAGTGCTAATACAAAACGCACCTCGTAATTCAGGGGACAATACACCGGTCAAATTGACACCATAGAAGGATAAATATATTAAATTAATATTCTCAAAAGGAAACGTTCATTAGTAAAACCATGTTCTATTGTCTCAACTCCAAAATTAATAAGATCTGACTTAAGAAATAAATACCGAGATTATGATTTATATATGACCGAAGATTTTATCGATAATGCAACCAATGTCACAGTTCTAATTGTTCTAGTTATTGTGACATCACATATCATGTTAGAATTAAAATTAATACCTGATTTGAGAAGCGATATTATGATGGGATAATCAAAACTATTTATCAATTTTTTTAATAATAAGTGTTTAAATATTTTAAGAAATGAGTTCGGAAAGTGGTTCCTTAAATTAATTCTTGTGAGTACATATTCGGTAACTTAATTTTACCATAAAATATTCATGAACATCGAAAATAATTTTAAATATATGCTATAAGGAATTTCTGGAAATATCCTCGTAAAACATAACAAAGACGATGTATTATATACAGAGTGTCCACAAAGTATGGGGGCCCCTATGCAGACACATACACATGTGTCCATAGTTTGTGTCATATATCATTCTAAGCTCATCCAAAGTTACATTGATTTGCCAAGTATCATGGGTCAATTCACAAATGGGTAAAAGTTACAGGCATTTAAATATTTAGTGTTTGGTCAAAATTTAAGTCAGTTTTACACCTGAGTAATAGTTAGTGTGTCTCCCTGGGCTATGTTTAACAGCAGCAATGCTTTCCATATATGACCTTAAAAATGCTTCAAATAGGGATGTGGCATTTTGTAATCCTCATAAAACCTTTTTAAGGCATTTTAGAAGAATTTCCTTGGAGTATTTACCCTCAATGTCCTCTTTTTAGAACTCAATATCCATCAATAGCACCCATATTTTCGGTCACATTCAGGTCAGGGCTGTTGCCAAGATACTGAAATGAAATATAGTTATATTTTTGATCAAACACTAAGTTTTGAAATGACTTGTAACTTTTTACCATTTGTGAGTTGAACCATGATACTTGGCAAATCAATGTAACTTTGGATAAGCTTTAGAATGATAAATGACACATACTATGGACACATTTGTATATGTCTGCCTAGGGGGGGGGGGCAATACATTTGGGACACCCTGTAGATACACCATTTCCATCTATCAATCCTAGCGATATCTTAAATTATTGATACATTCGATCAACTACTAAAAGTGTTTTTTTTTTTTCAAAAATATACTTTACAATGTGTAAATGATAAAAATCTTGTAGGGCTGATAGGGTGAGCAAAAAGGATATATATTTGATTAAATATAGCTTATTATCTGTAAAATCTACTTTTTCACAGAGTACTGTTTCGCTTTTTAAACTATCAATAATTCAAACGAACAAATTTCCTTGCACTGACATCCCCGAGCATGCCTGGTAATCACTCATGTCATTAGTCCAGCATCAGTTGCATGTTTTAGAAGTTTTTTGATACACCCTCTGTCCATATAGAAAAGTGATGATGTTTTAATTAACGAACTAGGATATGATGAATGAGATTCTAGTCGCACCTCTGAAATGTACTTTGCACTCATGAACCAAAGTAAGCTTAATGTGCCTGTCATATGGGGATTAATTATGGATAAAGCGTCCATTACTTGTGTGCCAACAAACACTACGAATAAAGAAACGCACTTAGCCCCTTGATTAATCAAATTACAACCGACATTGTTTCAACTTAAATCTGCACGCTTAAATATTCACTGGACGTCTTCGATGGTCTAAGGTATGCAAACTGTGGTCATATATTTGCTCTTCCATCTGTCCTTGCATCAAATGTGAAAATCAAATGTCGGAAAAACAAATATGACGACTTTTAGAAAGCTCCATAAAGTAGGCGTCCTTAAAAGAGTGCTTGTTATTTTGGTAAGCTTAGCTTCAAGTTGATGCGTATCGTTTTGGTCAACTGTCAGTCGATGCGTGTTATTAACATTGCTTTAACACGCCATTAAATGGATAGTTCTGGTGGCTAATGTTAAAGAGGGGATGTACAAACCTTTGTGTTCTTCACGACAGGGAGAGACCTTCGCTTCCTCGTGGATAATGCATTTTGAATGTTCTGCAACTAAAACATAAAAATGAGTATAATTCATTTCAAATGCCACCTCCTACACCTTCTAAACCAAGCTTACATTTTATCAAACAACGATGAGTAAATGATGATAAATTGCACTTTACGAGCAGATGCCGGCAAACAGCTAGGCTTGATGATGTGATGATGTATTTCGCAATATTTAATAAAAAGTCAACCGATGTAATAAGTTTCCAGTTCTTGCAATTTATATTAAGCACTTGATCAACACTTGATTTGTAAAAACGGTTGCGATGATGTATTATACAATATTTAATAATTTTGAGATTTTTTTTTTACAGACCTTAACTCATAATCAAAACTTGATTTGTAAAAGTTGTTGGGACGACAAGAAGCATTCTCTGAATACCAAGAGGTGATTTACATGTTTCATAACTAATTGGTCATCAAAGATTCATGCAAAATATGTTTTACATCTATCTTCATCATTTATTCTACAATCATCCATCTCTCCTCTTTGAATACATAACTCATTTGTAATTAATTCATAAATTATTGATTTCGATTTTCCCTCTTAAAATTACCCATGTGTTATGAAGGTACTGAATGATGGACTCTAACAGTGTTTATTTGATAAAACAAGTGATAAACATTCCATTTGTAGATGAAACACTAGATCATATTAAATGCATAATCTGATTAAGAAATGTTTCAGTGTGAAAACTGATTTGAAATTGCTTTCGAGTTAATGTGAAAAATAGCTGTATACTGCACAGTTTACACTTACTAACTAGTTATGTCGAGCCAAATTAGGTAATTGTGTTAACAAATGTATAAATTAATCAAAGCTGAAAAATAGTTGTTAAAAGGATAAGGTTGGTAATTAACACATTTTTGCAAATCGAGTTTTCTTTCCATTTCTCATTTATTCCATAAAAAATTCAAATAAAATGACAAATACAATAGATAAAGTACATGATGTAATGGCGGAGAATGTTAGATACCTTCAGTTGGGTTGGGGGGGGGGCGTTGTTTTGATTAATCTAAGATATCAAGAGCTTGCCAAATGAATGACTAACTATTTCAATAACTTGTTCAATCTCGAATTTGATGAAATTTCTGCCTCCAAATAACGATTGAATTTTTTCATTTGATGCAGTAAAGAGGTTTTTAATACTTAGGTTGTTTGTTGTTCAGCACCACAAACACAAAACAGGTCGTTAACTCCCTATGCAAATAAATGTGCATTAAATAACAACATGTAGGATCTCCAAGGAATTCAGTCCAATAACCTGTTCAACAATATCTTCTAAGTGGCCTTTTCTTCACTTGGTCCCTTAAACAAACTACTCAACCAGGATGAAATTGATGAATGCTAGCCAAAAGAAGCTCCCAGAAATGCTAGGAGCCAATTTTGTTGAATTTTCAGGAAGCACTATGCGTGCAGTTCCATATTGTGTAAATACATCATTTGAGCACCTTGAATATCAATCAAAAAATCCAACGAGAGCTCTGATCCCATGTACCAGATTAAAAACAAATCAGCCTGCTTTTTACGTCCTCTATAGCCTTTGTTACAAATCTATTTCAAACAAAAGCTTGGCAATTTTCTTACTGTAAAGTGAGCGAGTGTAGAATATGTCGTAAAAGGGGCAAGTTAATTTTATATATATATTTCTTATCTATTTATTCACTTACCATGCGACAGAAAGAAGGAGATGCATATAATGATGATACTTACTGCTCAATTTGACTTAATTTTTGAACTGACCCCAATGACCATAGAAAACAGTACAGGGTCATCAGAGCATCAAAAGTCAAAAGTTTTTGAACTTTTATGAACAAGGAAAAAAACAAAGATTCAGATATCAACAGGCTTTTCCACGCTATGAAATGAATACTTCCGGCTGCCAAAATTATGGAGGGGAGTGTACAACTATAACACTACTTGTGGTCCATCAATAGAAAGGGGACAATTTCTAGAGATCATTAGTAACACCTGATGATCATACTCACTTGATTTGAAAATTGTCTTCTTGATAAATCATTTCTTAGTTGAGAAACGGCATCTTCCCAGAAGGTTATGTGCTGCAGAATGTTTTTATTTTTAGACAATTTACGGGCCAATGACTCCACCGTACTAAGATCATTTGGCGAGATGCCCTCAGTCGCAACTGTCTCTTCTGCAAAGAACCCTGGGTCAAAGTCTCGTGCAGTTACGACATTGTCCTGGGTGCCTAGAGCGGCTAGAGTATCGAGAATATTGTTTGAGTTTTGGATAGCAGAACGTTTCTCCCCATCCGCTTTCGCCGTGCATCCCCACCACGGGCAAAACAATCTCTTTGGCGGAGCGTGCTGGAAAAATGAAGAGATATAAGGTTTCGTTATACACGCATAAGTGATCAATCATTTTTAACCAAAGATGAGATGACATGCTAAAATGTTCTGGTATTTAGTTTTCTATAGTCTTATTGGATATTATTTAAGTATTACTTTGGAGGTAAGCATTGTATACGTGAAATTCTAGTACCGTCAGTGTCTGGCATGACATACTTCACTGACCTACGAGCGGCATAGTAACTCGGTGAGTCAAAATAAAGTAACCCAAAGAAATGCAATTTAATAACAGTCATCCAGCATAGGTTTAAAATCATATTTGGCACAATTAGCAAGGAAATAGTAAAAGTAAATGCGAGATAAAGGAAGTAGCCAACAGGGATTAGAGGCAATACCGTAAGCACAGGGTTTCATTTAATTAACGGTGTTTCATTTGTACTTTCACATAATACCCAAATGCTTACAATTGGACCCTATAGAGGATTCAATCTGATGAAATGAAAAATCGAATTGGTCTCAACATTCTTTGTATTTCCAATCGTGCTTGGGAGATCAAACAAAGGTATAAGAACCATTGAATTGAACTTAACAAAAAAGGCTGCATGACAATTTAAAAATCCCTGTAGACAATTCTCAACAATAAAACTCCAACGAAATTACTAGCATGAAACCATGTACTCTAGCGAAGGGATATAGTTCGTATCGCCCTAAACTCATATCTTCAGTGTGGTCCAGCGTTGTTGCTCCATCAGCTTGGGGAAATTAGCGAATGAGATATGAGCAGACTATCAAACGAGAACTCGAAAGTAGACCTGTTATTTATCAAAGACCACACTTTCTTTCATGCGTGTCAATTAATCACAAAGAAGATCCCATTGTGGCGTGGCCGTGTCGATTATCTCCGACTGCAGGTGTATAATTTTCCCGGGCTTAAAATATATTCCGCTAAAAATGTCGTATGCTAAATCTCGTCTGCCGAATGCATACGTAAATTACTCTTGAATCTGATTGGATTGGCACATTATCAATTGCAATTATTTTTATATAATGTTACGTATGCAAATCGTTTCTGCTCACACATTTTAGGGACCATGTGATTCCATGTTTTATTATCGCAGCTCTGAAATAGTAATGTGCCATTGTGTTTTTATAGCTGTCATTAAGAGAGCAACACCAGGACAACGCGACTAATAAGCCCTTTTCCTTTGGCTTATCTCTCCTAATTAATCATACTCTGTGTCCTATTATGAAAATCTTTTATTCGATTCTGAAATTGTAACCAAATGAATTATGAAATTTGAGCTCAAGCAGATTGGCGTTGAAGTATGAAGTATTTTAATCATAACTGAATATAGCTTGTCCTACAGTACGGATAATTATACATTAAGAGGATGATTTATCATAATGCGATTGTGAAATTAAAAAATATTGTAAACAGACGGTAAATAAACAATTAAAAATTGCGCGGTTCGGAACGCTTAGCAAGTAACCTCAACTTTCTTGCAAATTTTAAAGCTGGCTACATTGGGTCCCCTTTGTTCTCCAGAAAACTTTAATTTATAGAAGGATTCTCTCAGCTATCATTCAAGAAATATTTGTGAGAATGGTTGTATTGACGGAAAATGTTACGAGTGAGATATTGAATAATTTCGTTTGGGATTAATAGCAAAGAGGAAGAGATAAGCACCTGTGAAAGAATTTATTGAACGGCCCTCGTAGCTGTTGCCGCCAACACATTTCTATACACATATTTGTTCTTTGAATATTGGTCTTTGGCTTGCCTTCCAACTCTCTCTACTTATAGATAATTTCGTTAATTGCTACACTAGCAAACCTTGTTGACAAGTAGACCTGATGACGAATTGCATTAAAACGATACGGTCAATGTAACATTAACTTGGCTTTCCAACAAATTTTTGCTCTTGTTCATTTACCCAACCTATTTTGTTTTTAGCAAACGCAGGCATGTCGTGGGTTGATTTTATAATTGTTGGCCCCTGGTAAATCAAAATTACATTCTATCAAAATTGACAGCTTTTGATCGTACTTTTGATGAAAATAGTGGCAGAAAATGATAATCAATATGAAATCAATACATTCATATAAAAGTTGCACATGACTCTACGGGAATGAATTACATTTTTCACATAGCCCATTCCTCGCAAACAATTGAGTATTTTAATAGCTTTTGCACCAAAGAGCATCCTGAAAAGAAACAGTTCATTTCTGGCCTACCCGTCAGTTCCCCTCAAAGTTCCGCTCTTAAGTTGTACATAAGAGGGTAATGAAAAGACAAGAAGCCAATCTAGGTGAGACAATCACATCAAAATTCCACACATTTACACAATTATTCTGGTAGGATCTTATTTGTGTGTTATTTCCAAGTTGGCAGTCATTTGGCTCGCTTTTGCCTCGCACTTTGTTATCTCTTTAATATAGTGCTAATATAGTACATCAGGTGCACTAGTTATCACGGCGGATGTATATGTTAAAAGGATCAACCTTCGTTCAGGTCTGACACCCAGAAGTATAGCTCTTGGCAGAACTTAGATTTATAGCCAACTTAAAGTCAACACGTCCCCAAACCAAAACAATATCGAGATAAAAAGCTTTATCTTGTTTTATATAATTTCTTTTGACTATTCACTGACGCAATTCGCAGCAATTGAATAAACTTTGATATCCATAGCCTCCAGTAAAGTTGGATATCTTGCGGTCAATAACCAATTAATACTTAACATAATACATCATATTCAAAGACTTCAAAAGCCCCAATACGAAGTTTGGGCCGGGATAACTCAAGTAACGTATCAACCTACTCAGCTATTGGTATTATTCATTACATTTGGTGTGCCAATAAAATAAAATATTTATTAAGCCTATATTTGACAGACATGAAACCATTTTACATAGGGACGTGATGCAGTTGTGGAAACAGTTTGGTCGGTGTGTGAGGAACGATAACTCATCCCTCAAACAGGAGATATTTACGTTCAATTAGATTCAAACTGGCCTCGAGAGAGAAACGAAAACAGAAGCTACAATCGAAATTAAATATTAACGCCTGATTTCTATTGACTTTTAGACCTATTATCAGTATTATTGATGTTTGATTGTCAACGTACCAATTAATTAACTATTTATTTGCATGATTTCTGTCCAAATAATTACCAACATGTTGAAGTGTGACGAATAAATCTAAATGAAAAAAGAGGGGGAGCTAGACTATTACCACCATCTTCCTTGTCAAATCATTCTTTTAAGCACTTGAACTCTGAGACATCCGTGACCAAATCATATTTATATATTCACACCACAGGACTAAATGTCACACTTTTACACCTTTCTTACATTAACCTTATATTTTCATTGGCCGAGGACGATATGCTTGAAAGGTTACAACAGAAACCAGCATTTAGATTGAAGTGAGACAATCAACAAAACTGAGAAATTGATAAGGTCTTTGCACAACCCTTTCGTCAATTGGCCTGTATAATGTATTCTAAACCGTCCATTTTCAAGCATTTTCATTTTGGGAAACTATATTTTAGTTTATTCAGTTGCTTCATATCAGAAATTGGACTTAGTGAGCTCAAGATGGTTACAAATCGAAATTACAATTGGTTATATTGATTTTAACATGAACGGACCCACGCAATGAGTGATTGACGCCCTTATCTTTGAAATGTCAACGGATACGTAACCCTGTGAGAATCTATGTACACAGTCAAGGCATCAATATAGTTTTCTTAACATTTCAATGTACAAGGTGTTTCAAAACGACCGTCTCCAAAACGCAGCCAATTCTAGATAGCGTTTTTCTTTCATGTTTTGATCAAATCAAGCAAATTAATCCGTTTATAGTGATTTTAAAACGTAAATTTACAAAATATGTTCTCAATAAGCAATTATGCCAATATCTTTAATTGCAGCGAAGTCAAGTATTGAACTTGGTTTATTATTCTTTATAAGTATATCAATATATATCATGGGTTATATCATGCGTTGTCTTTAATAGACTGTGGAGTGGGAGGTCGGTAATTCTGAAACCCCCTGTATTTATGCATGTATGTTCCATTCTCCAAGTCCAGTACTTTAAAAGTAAATATTTAATATTAAAATAAATATTTTCCGCTTCGTCATGCCTTGGGGTCGTTCTGTTTTCCTGAGAGAAAAGCTGTGTAGTTCTTATTACCACACCCCAGTGCAAATATATACAGGTTAAACAAACTAATTCATGTTTTTCATAGCAATCGATTCTGTTGACTTGTAAGTGCGTATTGTTCTTTTTATTTCCGCAACTAATGGTCAAATGCATAAGGTTTCTTAGAACTGAAAAGATACGATTTGGATTACGGTAAACTGATGGGGATTGTTTTATGAGCTAAATCGTGTTCACTGCTGTTTACAATGAAATAGTATAAAGGCTTACATATGCCGATTGGGCGAAATCCCACTTGCCCCAACAAGTCCGATCCCGACCGATATTACCGGCATCACCGTCAGCTTCTAGTCCCGACGTGTCCTATCAAGTACCACGATGCCCCATGGAATCTCGTTAACTTTACCCCATCGAGTCCCATCGAGTCCCATCATGCCCCACGGGAAATGATGATTTAGTAAAAAAGGCTTCGATGCGGCCATTTTGATCTCAAGCGAGTCGACGTCACATGGTCAAAAGTCCCACAATGCCCCATGGAAAGAATGAACATGTTCGGCTTCGTAGGGCGTGGCCCCATATTGTCCCATCAAGTCCCATTGAACTTCATGGGGTAATTATAAAGTCTCACGGAGTTCAATGGAGTCATTTTGGGCAAAGCCTCATTTTTGCTTGTCCATGTATAACTCGGCCAGAAGAATCTCAAAGTTATTAATAATAGGTCCTCCGTTGACAATGCCCCATTATTTCTCTTTCAGCTGACATCACAAAAATTATGAAAATGAAAAATAAGAAATAGCGAAATATGAATGATTGTACACTTTTCCGGGCAAAGTCAAAGCAAAAATATGTCGGGTTG